GCCCCCTGAGCTTGAGGGCCCCGGGGCACTGCCCCGCCTAGCCCCTAAGTAGCTACGCCACTGAAAATAGTCATCATCCGGTATCTATTGGATGTTATCTGTGACCGTAGTGAAGTTAAAGTGTGTATTTTGTAATGAGGATGTATTTAAAAACATTGGTTATGACCAATCCTCATTGGTCTTAAAGCATTAAAAGGCACCTTACTAGATGGCGACTCTAGCAAAAATTGATATTTGCAGGAAACGAGTGGACTAAAGTTAATAATTTCCGTTCCTTTTAACTAACATTAAAAAACTGAGATTTTCAAAATACGAAACTTAGATATCAATACAAATACGAAAAAGTACCTACAAATAGAATACGAGTTTTTTATTGAGTTTTGTAGACTAATTTACTTTTATACATGAAAGAAAACCAGAAGGGTTGTCATGGAGAAATCAAGAACGTACCGTAGCGACATCTAGTTTGATTTCGGGAACTAATGTTTTATTTTTAAATATATCCTCATTACAACATTACATTATATTTGTGTTTTAATATAAAACCGATAATTATAATAATGCTGTAAGCTGGCAATACAAACAGATGTGCGAATACATCGCAAAGCAATTCATTTCACAAACAGTTGATCAAACATTTGCCTCAAATCTATATAGTAACTATTAAATTTGCTATCGTCAATGAAATTCCATATTTTTTTTTACGCTGTTGCTTTCAAGAATTATCTAAATATAACTGGTGTAAGGTCGTTATACTCTCGAATTCAATTATAAGCGACAAGGCCGCAAATGTTTTACGTAATGATTTACCATTGTACCATATGACAATACAGTGGTAATTTTAGCTATAGTTTGCTTTTGCAAGTAATAATATCGGATTTCAGTTAGACTTGTGGAAATTTTAATCATACAATCAATGAGGAAGTATTTAAAAAGAAAACATTAGTTCCCGAAATCAAACTAGATGTCGCTACGGTACATTCTTGATTTCTCAATGACAACCCTTCCGGTTTTCTTTCATGTTTAAAAGTAAATTAGATTTCAAAACTCAATAAACAACTCAAATTCTATTTGTACTTTTTCGTATTTGTATTGATATTTAAGTTTCGAACTTTTCAAATTTCAGTTTTTCAATATGTTAGTTAAAAGGAACGGAAACGCCCGTCTTTAGTCTATTCGTTTGAGGTGCTTTTTAGTGCTTTTGTTTTTTTTTTAATACTTCATTATTTATTGCATAAAATATGGTGCGGTACAACAGATGTCATAAAATAAGAGTATCACCTATTTACTGTATAACAGTGTGCAATAGTTTTAATATGTAAAAGATTATTAGTTTTATTTTATTATTAATTTACATTATAACCTTTTCATGCATTAATCTTATTATTATTTTATTCGCACATCATTGACTCAAAACATTTGGTACAATTCCTATTACTTCAGTCTTATAATTTAAAAACATTAAATAGCAATTATTTCATAAGTAAATCAATTTACATGTTACAATAAGTCAAGTATTCTTAATATATAAATCCACGTCAATTAGTACATAATTTTATCATACACATTATAAAATATGTCATTTTTACTCTTCTGAAATTGTTTGCATTCCAAATATTCCTGTATCGAGTAAAATGATTTGTTTAAAGTCAGACAATTAGTCTAACTTTAAAATTTATCAGAATCCCTTTCAAATGTATAGCAAATAGTTAATTGTGTAAGTTTAGGGTATGTTCCGATATACACTGCGACCACTGAACAGTATGACGTCAATTTGTTGACATTTCCCATTTTAACCATCACTTTGCTCAAACGAGTCCGATTAACATCGAATAAACTTTATCGTTCATTCGATATCTTTCAAAAAAACGTCGCGATCGCTATTACTATCACATGTCAAATAAAAATGTCAAATTCAAAATGATTGTGCAATATCTTCCTCACACAAGCGGTGTCAGATATATAATAATATTAGACTTCATGTAGATTGTACAATTTCAAAATGGAAGTACTAAAGATTATATTAAGATGCTGTTATTACGTTAACATTGGCAGAGTTGATCTGCAGATGGCCACTGGTTAGATATAGCAGATAGCAAAAGGTTTCATTTACCAGTGTTATATAGATCCGTAGAGTAGGTCAAATCATTTAAAAAAAAGGAAATATACTGAAATGATGTATTTAAAAAAAAATGAAGCACTAATAAGCACCTCCACTAGATGGCGACTCTAGCAAAAGTTGATTTTTGCAGGAAACGAATGGACCAAAGATAGTCATCTCCGTTCCTTTTAACTAACATATTAAAAAACTGAAATTTGAAAAGTTCGAAACTTAGATATCAAAACAAGTACGAAAAAGCACAAATAGAATTGAGTTGTTTATTTAGTTTTGAAAACTAATTTACTTTTAAGGATGAAAGAAAATCGGAAGTGTTGTCATGGAGAAATCAAGAAAGTACCGTAGCGACATCTAGTTTGATTTCGGGAACTAATGTTTTTTTTTTTAATACCTCCTCATTTTAATACAGGTTTGAGCTATGACATTGCATGCTTTGGTAAATTATATCAATTTAAATCTAATATGCCGGACGATACAAAATAGCGATCCCATTATTTTTAATGCACAGTATCATGATGAATATCAAACGAAAGGGTTTGTAAAGCAAAATAAAAAAAATAATTTCAATATAATCCAAAATGGCGGACCATTGTAAATGGCGGAGCAGTTATTTAAGCTTGGATCTTGGATCATAGACACTGTGGATGTTGTTTTAAGCTTTCATGCTAACATATTATAGTTTTCCTTTGGAAGATTGCTACCATGCAGCAAATGAATCGTTAGACAACAACTAGGTATTACGGTGACACGTTGAGTTGAAATGTCACGTGACGTCACCACTTTGTACATTTTCTAGATAGTTATGACGTAGCGAGTATCTAATCTTCAACTATAACGCATATTATCTAAGCCAGTCTTTCCCAGAGATTGTTCTGCCATGGCTTAGTAATATTGAACCGACTACATAATCGAAAAGGATGAGGTTATATGTACGACGGCGATGTTCTCAAAATTCAATTTTTTTCTGAAAATATATTACCGATTTTGAACTTTTAAAAATCATTTAATTAATATTCTACTGAAAACCTATGCCCTACTTCAATGGAATTTAAATACTTATAATGACGGGTGTTAGACGTGATTTTACACTGATCTGCGCCGAACGACGTTTGCACGGGTTGTTCCAAACGTGTTGCACGGATTGCACGGGTTGTTCCAAACGTGTTGCACGGATTGCACGGGTTGTTCCAAACGTCGGTGCAGGTCAATGTAAAATCGCGTGTAATACCCGGTATTATAAGTATTTAATAATGCAGCACGATGGTATAAAAAAAAACAATGGAATTTTCTTGAAACGTTCGTATAACCTAAACTGATTCTATTATTTCAAAATACCTAGATGTTGGAGCTTAGTTCGGTATTTTTTTTGTTAGATAAATTTATTTTAAATAGATCGAATTTTTGCCCCCAAAACCTTCTGCTTATACTGATTTTCATGAAATTCATTTGAACCGTTTCCGAAATTAAATACGGCGGGAATTCTGGGTCCCCTGTTTTATTTTGATGACCCAGGACAGGGTGGAGTCTCGGCATATGGGCTATAAGCTATTTCTTAATATATTATTCATCATCAATATAATGTATCTATATTTGTGTTATGGTATGTATTTATATATTTTTTTCGTCAGTTTCTATGCATGTCTACGCATAGTTAATCTTTACTTTATGCCGCCATCGCGTTTATTGTTTTTCCTAAAGGTTACCTGGGAGAGAATGCCATTAGCATTAAATTCGTCTTTAATACCATTCTTTACTGGTCAATAAAGTTTAAAAAATAATAAAATACTGAGGGGCTAAATAGAATTTCTTTGCTTAAAAAATCCACTTGGTCGCTTAAAAAATCTCAGTTTGCCAAAGACCAAGTGGATTTTTATTTTTTATTAAGAAGAATTTATATATTTTTTTAAATTCTGCCATCATCTTTTTGGAATCAATGGAAGTTTCCTATTAACAATGTATTCACTGGATTATTAATTGTCTATAAGTAAATTGGAAAACAATAAATTCGTAACGCTGTAATAATTATAACAATACACATAACAAAATCTCCATGTTATTCGTGTGACCATAAATTTAAAGAAAGACTTAATTTTTTTTAATAGAAATATTTTTAATGAAAAATGCTTACAATATCCATTTGAGATGGGATTTGAATCCATGACATTTCGCTATCCGAGAGACTGCTCTAACCACTGAGCTACCCAGGACCTAACAGGACTGAAGAATCTTTCAAACAACTACATAGCGTATTCTATACTATAATCTATACTAATATTATAAAGAAGAAAAATTTGATTGTTCGTTTGAATCGAATAGGCTCCAAATCTACTGGACCTATTTTGAAAATTCTTTCTACAACGGAAAGCTACATCATACACGTGTAATAACCTCTATAAATTTATGCTGGCAAAGACGCGGGAAAATAGCAAGTCCGCTTTTAAAATCCTGTGACGTGGACTCAATGTGACGTTTTTGACTGCAGAAATGCCATGCGACGCATACAGATTTCCACATTCTGACACCACAAGTCTAGTACTTGTCGAATAAATATTATCTCAATAAGTTTCTAAAATATTATTTGTTCTTGGAAACTTTCACTATATTTATAAGCCGGTTTTATCTTCAAATGCGTGGACACCCTATATATGATTAAATTGTTGAATAACTACATAATATTTGCTTAATTACGGGGTGCTATTATATGAAGGTCGTTGGCATTTGAAAAATTACATAGTTTTATAATACTTCAACAAAAAACTATTGTTAAAATCATTTTTAAGGTAAATGAACCTTTTTGAATAATAAATAAATATTATTGAGCAAATATTCAAACGATTTCGACTAAATTTTTTAGTATATATAGCTGTTAAAGATTTCCAAAGATATAGTTTCGGTTGATACTAACTTTGGAACATTACCACCTACTACAAGATGAAAACCGCCGTAGTCTTCTTACTTCTGGTAAATATATTGCAAACTTTTACTTCTTATTTTGTAATGTAAGGCATCAAATCAGCGAACACACCAGTTTTATTCATTAATAATAGTGAAAATATTATTAATATTGATGTAAACCATTTATTTAGGGTCTACAATAGAGCTCACTCAGAAGAATAAGTTAGGTTAGGTATGGAGGCTCCAATTTAGGGGGCGTCCATAAATTACGTGAGGTGTTTTTTAAATTTTCTGTCCCTCCCTCCCCCTCTGGTGAGATGTCGTGAGATTTTATTCAACCCCCTCCCCCATCCCCCAATCTCACGTGAGATTTTTCAAAATGCAATTTGATGAGTACTTGCGAGTATTTGCCTTGTTGTAGTATCGAGTACTCAGTATCGAGTATCGCTTTTGAAAGTATCGATACCTACTCGGTATCGAAAGTATCGTTCGAGCCCTACAAATATGGTGGTTTAACATTCAGTAGATGTATAGCGTCGAAGTATGAATGAAATTATTTTCTTTCGAACGAATTAGTGAATGATCTTAATCGTATACGATTACGCTTAAGATTAAATCTTAAGCATGTACAATCTAGATTAAATGGACCAAAATAGTATTTCTTTTTATGTTTCAATCAGAAAAAAAATTGCGTGATATTTGCCAAGACCCCCCCTCTCTCCAACGTAATATTAGATGAGATTTGCCTCGACCCCCTCCCCCTCTTAAACATCTCACGTAATTTATGGACGCCCCCTTACCGCACTTCCAAACTCTCATAATTCAGGTTCTCCAGCCTATTTGGTTTAGCCACGAGTAGCTTTGAAGATGCTTTAGAAAAAAGCTGGAAATATAGACCGGCATAAAATTGCAAAGTTCGAAAGTAAAAGATGGCGAAAAGCAATTTGAAATATTAAACAACCAATAGTCAAATTTTAATGATACAAAAGATAAAAAAGCGACCTAATCACGTACTATCAAAATTTATTTGTTCAAAAATCAAAATCAACAAAAGAAAAATAAAAATAATAGTTACTGTATAACGAAAAGCTGGATTAATAAATTCAAGAATCTTCATTTTAAATAATACCACAAATCCAAATCTAATTTATTTTGCCGGTTGAGGCACATATATTGCAAAATAATAATTACCTATGTTTGAGTTGGCTTGAATTATTAATTTATCTGTCTAACAGCGGCTTCGCCCTAGTGGATTAGATGATTTGAAATCTCTATTTTACCCCGATAGGGATAAAATTTTTCGAAATCCTTTTCCAAGGAACCACTAAGTTTTAATAAAATTAGTGTAACGTATTTGTGTCAGCTCGATCCCTCCGTTTGATAGCGTTGACGGGTCTGTTAATCAATAATTATTGCCTTTTATACATTAATATTTTTTTTTAATATGACTTTTGGTACTATAATCACGGATTACTTCTTCAAAAGCTTAGAGGAATCACGTTGTTCGATAAAGAAATCTAAGTAATTTGATTTTATTAAAAAAAAATTGAAAATTTCCGAAACTTTAATTGATACTAAAATGTGTGTACCACAAGGTGCTTTTTTAGGTCCCAAACTGTTCATCACTAGTATAAATGGATTTTATCTTCTAAGTAACCTAATCAAATATTGCTTTAATCATAATTTATTTGTGGATAATACTAATGTAATCTTTCAAATAAAAGATTGCAAAGAACATTTATCTCGACGCCATACGCCTATTAATCCAAAATCCACGTTTCAATGGTAGTTCTAGAAACAACTATTAATAATAATAGCAACTTGGTGTTTTTAGTAGAATATCATATGCTTTGCTTCCTTCATAGTAAAGCTTTTAGTATTATTACAATTAATTTGTTGCTTTCTTTTACAGATCGGCTTCGCCATGTGCTTACCAGCTCCTGGTGAGTTCATACGATTGCCATTTCTTCTTCATAATATCATTACTGGATTTAAAATTTATTCTTCGCTTTGATATTACAAATAGTAGTATTAATATTGCTTTAGCATGTAATAAAAGTATCTAACGTAATCTTTCTTAGAGTTTTTTTTTAAGGATTATGTACATCATCACATCATCACCAGCCCTTTTACGTCCCCACTGCAGGGGCTCAGGCCTTCCTTATGGATGGTTAAGGAGGATGGGCCATGACCCTCTATGCTGGCCCAATGCGGATTGGAGGGTATTAACGACTGCAAATGCAGCCGGGACCAACGGCTTAACGTGCCTTCCGAAGCACGGAGTAGCTCGAGATAATAATTTTTTGGTCACCCATCCCGTGACCGACCCTTGCGAAAGTTGCTTAACGACTACGATCGCGGGCCGCGGCGCTTATCCACTACGCCACTGAGCTACTCAAGGATTATGTACACGAACAGCAAAAACGGGACCTTATTACTGAGTCACCAGGCTGTACCATGATAGCTAGACATGTGAAATTTTCAAAGATGTCATTTTTTCGTTCATATGCGTTACCGACTCGCTCTTGGCTGATTTTTTCAATGTATATGTGTATCACTTAAGTTAAGGTCGCAACAGATGGTCAAGATGCTTTTATATAATATATTAAGATAAAATATCGCTCGCCATACATTCCGGATAGATTTAATTTAAGTCTATAATGAATTATAGCTACTGATTGTTTTTTCCAGGCTCCTATGATCCACAGCCAGGTAATGTTTCTTATTATTTTGATTACATTCTTTTTTTTCTTCAAAATCTATACAGTATTTTATAGCAAGTTTTTAATCGATCTTTCAGAATGGGAACACTTAAAAGTGATTAACTGCACGTTCGTAATAAATACAGTAGGGAAATTGATTCATTGAATTAATTAATTTGTTTTTTCAAATCGCTCATTATAAGTCATTCTTTTGTTACAGAATCCGATGGTGATTGTGACAATAACGATTGGGATAATGATAACGGAAATAACGGAAATAATGGAGATAACGGAGATAACGGAGATAACGGAGATAACGGAGATAACGGAGATAATGGAGATAACGGAAACAACGGAAATAATGGAAATACTGGTAAGCAATATTCTTAATATGTACATTTGGCTAATTTATAAATGGCATTGATTTTATATAAGCTACTAGTTCGATTGAGTTTCAATTAAGTTAGCATAATGTAAATGGAACATGATCCAGCAACTGGATAGGTGATTACTTCTAAACTCATTATCTTGTTTCCATTATTATTAAATGATTATGTTATCATTATAAGACCATAGTTTTTTTCTTTCTATCTCTGTTTATAATGTATTGATCTGGTAATGACATGGTTTTTGTGAATGTCATCACTCCCATTAGAGCTGGTGAGTTTCTTGCTCGTTCTTCTTATCAGCCAAAAGACGTCCTGAACGAGTGGTAGGGAAAAAAATGTTGGACGATACTAAAGTACTTTTAAGAAGTCTATTTTAATAAAGATTATTTTGATTTCTTTTTTTAAAAAATCATTTAAAGGGCTATTTTGTTCTTAATGTTGAGTAATATCTATCCTTACTGATATTATAAAGAGCAAACATTTGATTGTTTGTTTGTTTGCATTGAAAAGGCTCTGAAACAACTGTACCAATTTTTAAATTTCTTTCAGGGAAAGCTATATCATCTTATATGTCTTGTAAAGTTTGCTTCTTTTTAAATAATATGCGATGGAAACATTAACGTTATAACCAGAGGTCGGAATTACGTAGAGTTATTTATGTACTTGCATCGAAATGTTGATATTAATGTGGACCTTCCTTACAAATGTGGCAACATCGCGCGTATTGGTATTTTGCAACTTTGGACATCCGATGTCATTGATGTAAGTTTGGCAACGTCGTGCGTGCAGCAGTTTAAATTTTGTAAAAGTAAATAACTTTTTATTTAAAAAATCACGGGATTTTTTCTGCTCTTTAAAATTAATCTCGGGATTTGAGGCATATCCACTTTCTTCTTTCGCTGTATAAAATCAGTGTAAGTACATGAATAACTCTACCTAATTCCGACCACTGGTTATAACAAAAGCACTGACCAAATAGAATAGAATTTAACGCAGATGTTAAATCTTCTCTTCGATTCAGGTAACGGGCATAGCGGCGGTTCTTCCGGAAGTGAGTTTTTTTTTTTATTCAATCTCTTTTCATACAGGAAATTAAAGTCAACTGTTACATATGCTAATTTTTATAATACTATTTTTATTCATCCTAATTTAATTTCGTTCACAGCAGGCACCACTGGACCAAAGAAAAGTCTGATCAATCTCGGTAAGCATATGTACTAGCCATCCGCCAGCGGCTTCGCTCTCTAGTTTTGAGTCCAGAAATTAGAAAATTCCATAATAACTTTCATCCCCTAATTTACCCCTTTAGGGGTTGAATTTCATAAAATCCCGTCTTAATGAGCACCTGCGTTCTTAAAAGAACTCGCATGCAAAATTTGAAACTCCTAGCACTTACAGTAACGAAGTTAAGGTTTTGTGTACATATCACAATTACGTCATAAATATGGTTAAAAAAGTTTAAATTTTATTTAATTTTAAGGCAAGAAAACGTATTTATTTCTCAGAAATAATTGTTTTATGACTTTTTTTAAATTAAAATATAATAACTATAATAACAGTTCCAAGTATTATTTCAAACAGGGAAGATTACACTATTATGATGCAATACAACCCTTATTAATTAGATATACAGTCCAACTTTTTCAGCCATTAGAAATAATTAAGAATAACTAAACGATTCCGTAGAGAAATGGACTGTCAATTTCATAGTCTGACCCACATGTGTCATGACTAAAGACTTTCCACGCTGGCCCAGTGTGGATTGGAGGTTATTAACGACTGCAAATGCAGCTGGGATAAACGCCTTAACGCGCCTTCTAAAGCACAGAGTAGCTCGAGATAATAATTTTTCAATCATCCATCCCGTGACCGACCTTTGAGGAAGTTGCACTCAAAATTAAACAATATTTCAACAGTTTCACCGCGTTTGTGTTTAGTTATATTGATGTTTCAGACCCTTTACAGGTTCCGTGGTCGCATGAGACTAAAGTTTTGATTGTCTTTTTTTATGTGAACACGGAACCTGTAAAGGTTACGTAACATCATTAAAACTAAATACAAACGCGATGAAACCGTTCAAAAGTTGTTTCATTTATGGATAGTGCGCGTGGAAATATAAGAAATCAATATCGTTATATAATTTTTTTTTAAATTAGAATAGTCGTATATTAATAATTATTTTTATTTTATTTCAGGTCTGGGACTAGGCCTTAATGGTATGCTGCTAACATAAAAAAATATTTTCACTTAAGTAAAGCCAATTAAGGTTTAAGATAAGAAATCATAGAGCCCATATTTCACTTGTCTATCTCATTTAGAGTAACTTTAGCTATTTTGAGTATGATATTATTCTATATGATAGAGACAAAGCATTAACTAATAATATATATTTTTCGCAATCTTCCCAAAGTAGTTTAATATTAATTTGTATTAAGTTATTAATGGTTAAAAAATCTCTTATTTCAGTTCTCGGCAAAGGTGGCTCTAAAGGTGTGTAATTTCCTATTACTGTAGACTAATAATAATAACCCACATTATTACATAATGGGGAAGTATTAAAAAAACAGACAGCATTAAAAACACCTCCACTAGATGGCGACTCTAGCAAAAGTTGATTTTTGCAGGAAACGAATGGACCAAAGGCAGTCATTTCCGTTCCTTTTAACTAACATATTAAAAAACTGAAATTTGAAAGTTCAAAACTTAGTTTTCTACACAAATAGGAAAAATTACAAAAAGAATATGAGTTGTTTATTGAGTTTTGAAAGTAATTATACGTGAAAAAAAACCGGAAGGGTTGTCATGGAGAATTCAAGAAAGAACCGTAGCGACATCTAGTTTGTTTTCGGGAACTAATGTATTTTTTTTAATATTTCTTCAATTCTGTTAAATATCTTTAAGAAAAAATGCATCAAAACTAGTGAGCGTTCACTGGTAGCAAAAAGTAATAAGACTAATAAGTGATCGAAACATTCGATCTCGGATAGCTCAATGGTTAGAGCAGTCGCCCGGATAACGAAAGGTTGTAGGTTCGAGTTCCATCCCGGGTTACCTGAGGCTCAGGGGCGGATCGTGAATTTGTGGGGCCCTGGGCTAATACTAATAAGGGACCTTTTAATTACCGTATACTGTTTTTATTGGGGGTCGGGGATCCTTTGTATCCGCGGGACCCTGGGCTTAAGCCCGTTAAACCCTTAGATCCACCCCTGATTGGGCTAGTGGATTTTTAATGTATTATTAATTAAACATAGTTCTATTATGTTACCACAAATGCTTCTATCGTATTATGTTACCACAATATGCCTAAAAAGTGAAGACAAGTTTTTTCTCTTTATCTAGGATCAGGAAATGCCGGAAACGATGCTACAGGAAGTGAGTATTATTCGTTCAAATATTGTGACCACCCACCACCCGGACGGTTCTTCTTATACGGCCAGTTGCACAAACGTTCATAAGCTTTAATGACGCCTTTAAGCTCTTATGAATGTCAAATTTGCATGGGTAATGTTACTTTAATAGACGTTTGTGGAAAAAAAATTCGATATGTTGTTCAAATTCATGTTATACAGAGAATAAACAAACCTACTACCTTCTAGGAGTAAATATCACTCCCGTAGTACCTCGCGCTAGGTTAACCTTTGCCAAGTCTCTGTTTAATAATATGAATTTCGACTAACACTAAGTGCAGTCTCAGCGTTGATTTACTCCAACGCTTAACCTTGTTTATTAGTAACACTGATAGAGTATGACACAGCACAATGAAGCTAATGATGTATCTTAAAATGAATGCCAGTGCTCATAATTTAGTTTAATATCAATTTTTTGTAATAAAATATGTATTCATATTCAAATGATTTATTTATTGGATAAGTTTGAAATAGAAAGTTAATAGGGGTCTTTGTGTGCGCTTCTACAATAAGGTCCCATACGAAATACAACAATTAGATATCATGCAGTTTAAATCTACTATTCAAATAATACTTATTAAAAAAGCTTACTATAAGGTATCCGATTATATAACAGATAAGAATGCTTGGACTTGAGATGATCCAGCAACTGGATAGCTGATATACTTCTTAACTCATTATATATCAAAAATTATCTTGCTTCCATTATTATTAAATGATTATGTCATCATTATAAGACCATAGTTTCTTTTTTTCTCTCTCTTTATTTATAATGTATCGATCTGGTAATGACATGGTTTTTGTAAATGTCATTACTCCTATTAGAGCTGGTGAGTTTCTTGCTCGTTCTTCTTATCAGCCAAAAGACATCCTGAACGAGCGGTAGGGGAAAAAATGTTGGACGATTCAAAGATTATTTTGACTTTTGAGACGAATCATAACTATAATTTGTAATAAAACCTGCTTTCAGATGGCAAAACTAGCCGTGGAGGACTTATAAATCTTGGTAAGTATGTAAATAATACTAGTGTAATTTCGTATTATAATAAATGAATGAAATCATCTAAAAAATCGGGTGAAAGAACTATTACGTATAAAACTGGAATGATGTAGAAGTCAGGTAAAAGTAGAAAACCATACCGTGGCCTAATGGTCCATTTTAGAAATCTATCGCAATTAATTTCAAAGTTATAACGACTGTGATAGGAATTCACGGAATTATGTGCCGTTAAAAGTCGCAATCGCTGACAAATTAATATTAGTTACATAGAATTAGAGCGGTATTTGCCTGTAGCAAAAGTAGCGAATGCTATGGGCTCCGCACAATTGGGAGCCTCGCTATGGTCTGAACAATAAATTAATTTCAAAGTTAGTGTTAAAAATGCGAGAAATAAAATAAGTTGCGCTTCTGACTAAACTCATATTTTTAAGTATGTATACGTATATTAATATGAGAAGCAAAAACAGACGGATGAGTATGAAATTTGGCACACTTATAGTTTATATATAGGAGAAGTGCAACCGGCTAATATTTTTCAATAATAATGCTTATAAAGTTCAATAAATAGATAAATAAAACATTACACACACTACTATGCATTTGACACACACAAACATGTATTTGCTACACGCATACATGTACTCTGTGGTCAAATTGTTTCTTTTGACATAAAGTTTGTTTGTTTCTTTTGAATATTGGCCACGCACAGTTTGTGCATTGAGCCAGTGTTAAGTTTTATATGTTTACCATAGACATCTATACATATGTTTGTCAAAAGATTTTTGAATTTAGAAATAACTTCTAATTGAAATTTATTATGGTCGAATTTCGGGCACTGGGTGACCACCAGTAATCATAAATTGACAAATTAAACTCAAATCATATATAAGTTGTGTTGTGTTTTAACTAATATGTGGCTTGAGTTTTATTTATCAGTTTATGATTATACTTATAGGTATTGGGAAAGCAAAGGACGACTTTTCTGTAACGGTAGGAGGGTGGGGTGTATAAAAATTAGTTACAGGCCCCGCTCTGGCCTAATTCGGCACTGCATAGAATATAACAGCTTTAATACTTTATTTTTGTTACAGGTCTTGGACTGGGACTTGACGGTATGCTATATAATATACTATTATGACCCGGCGAACTTCGTACCGCCATATACCTGTCAATTATATCTTTGTTCCGATAATAAGAAACACGTTAAAAAAAGAATCATTCAATTCGTTGCTGTCGTTTGAAAGTTACACGTGCATTTTGGCCATTCATTTTTATATATTTAGTTAAAACGATAAAAACAAATTTTATTCATTAAAAAGTGGAAGCAAGAAGGTTTAATTCAATAAATAACTCCATTAATATTTTTAAGGATATTAGACTCATACTTCTATAAATTAAAATACATATAATACAATGTAGGATAAATTATCAGTATAAAATTTTTAAACTGCTTTAAAGCTACATGATAAGTCATTAAAATAAATATCATTTAATTAAGTTAATTAAGTTAATTCATCTCATGACCTACTCTCATGTCTTATGAAAGTGTTTATTTTTAAAAGTGGATGCTTAATGTTTGCTCTATTTTCAGTTCTCGGCAAAGGTGGCTCCAAAGGTATGTAACTATTTGTTGCTAACGTTCCGCCAGCGGCTTCGCTCGCGTGGCACTGTATTATCACTACATAGTATAAAACAAAGTCGCTTTTTCTGTCCATATATCCCTATGTATGCTTAAATCATTAAAAATAAGCTAGTACATAATTAACGTTAAAAAAATCTCAGCGTTAGATTTTCCATATACAACAAACATCATGAGTTACTACAAAATGCATATTAATAAAGTACTGTCTTCAAATATTAATGGTTTCCGTAGATGGCTCACGCCAGAATCAAGATGAAACCACCTCAGAGGTCCTAGTTAAATTCCCGAAATAATCAATGTGGAAAATTTTATTCTGATTGCAACTGAATGAGAAAGTATTAAAAAAAAGAAAGCACTAAAAAAGCACCTCCACTAGATGGCGACTCTAGCAAAAGTTGATTTTTGCAGGAAACGAATGGACCAAAGATAGTCATTTCCGTTCCTTTTAACTAACATATTGAAAAACTGAAATTTGCAAAGTTCGAAGCTTAGATATCAATACAAATACGAAAAAGTACAAATAGAATGCGAGTTGTTTATTGAGTTTTGAAAACTAATTTACTTTTATACATGAAAGAAATCCAGAAGGGTTGTCATTGAGGAAATCAAGAAAGTACCATGGCGACATCTAGTTTGATTTCGGGAACTTATTTTTTTTTTTAAATACTTCCTCATTGTACAAATGTCAAATTTATTACTTTATATTAGTTGAAAAGTACGAGATGGAATAGTGAGAATAAAAGACTAAAGGTGATTGAGATTATTTCTCCAATTTTATCATTTCATCATCACCATTAGCCCTTTCACGTCCCCACTACAGGGGCTCCGGCCTTCCATAAGGATGTTAAAGGAGGCTGGGCCATGACACTCCACGCTGGTCCAACGCGGATGGCTATTAACTACTGCAATACGAGACCAACGACTTACGTGCCTTCCGAAGCACGGAGTAGCTCGAGATAATATTTTTTTGGTCATCCATCCCATTACCGACCCTTGCGAAAGTTGCCTAACAACAACGATCGCGGGCCGCGGCGCTTATCCACTTCGCTACCGAGATCATCATTACCAGCTCATTATAGCCCCCACCGCTAAATTGCTGGGTGTTACTGACTGCAGATGTGGCCGGGCTAACGGCTTAAAATCCCGAAGCATGGAACAGCTTGAGACATTTCTGGTTTCCCATCCTGTGACCGGCCTTTGCGAAAGTTGATTAACAATCGTATCGCACACCAAGCGCTCTAACCCCTACCCCATCGAGCTCCTAAATTTTATCATATAAAACAAAGTAAACAACGTTTGTTTAGGTTAGGTTAAGTTAGAATCTTTCATAATTAAAAATTTAAAGATTTTCTTTTCTCTCTATTTAGGATCAGGCAATGCTGGTAATGGTGCTTCAGGACGTGAGTATTATTTTGAATATTTTATTATATAAAATATATAAATATTTTATATATCTTAATTGTGAAAGACACATATTACTATTCAATTGACATAAATATAATAATCACCATGCCGATTCCTATAGTTTTACAAGAATCAACCCGAAAGTATATTGGCGCCAGTGTTGCCAACCCCAGCATAGAGCAAAACTGCAGATATGCTTAAAAAAAAACTGTAGAAAACTGTAAATATCAAATTAAAAAACAGTAAATCTACATCTTTATCTTTTTATTATTTTATATTATTTAATGATAGTAGTAATAAATAGAATACATTATAGCGAAGGAATTAAAAACAATAAAAATCATGTAATTGTCAAAGTTTTAATCAAATTAAATTCCAAAATTCTCAAACATTTAAGTCAAATAAAATTCAAAACATTCACGAGGATTCCCGAGTAAGTAAGCAATAGAATGTCGGTAAAATAGACATCGACCGAAACGATATACGACTGTCCACCACTAACGCCATCTATTAAATTGGTTGACCATTACCTCCGGTTCGATAGTAGTAGGTTTTAGTGAAGCTGATTTAGTGTACGGAATACGTAGCAAATAAAATAGATGACGCTAGCATCTTAAATAAAAAACTGTAGATTTTGTCAGTTTCTCGGGTTGAGAGTGAGATATCGTATGGGCGCACCCGAGAATAGTGACATTTGAGTTTAGACAAAACGTTCTCATGTTCGTCATGCTACGCGTGCAGGAGTAGGTATAATTATCTATATAAAAAACTCAAAAAAAAATACGTTTGTTGTAAGAACGCTCGCCTTAAATTGTTAGTAATAAGGCCCCGTTCTACACTTTCGATACAAAACCCTAAAAAGTGACTTAGGATTGAAAGAAAAAGATTTGCAGGCCAAAGAAACACATAGAAAAATATAGTAATTTGAAACATATCTCGTTTTCAGACGGCAAATCTGGTTCTGGCAATGGACTCCTCAGTGGCGGTGAGTGTCAGTTATGCTATAATTTTTATAAAAACCTTTATGCACACATACCTTTATGGTGCGATTGTTAAGAGTTAACAGTTTGTATTTACGATTTGTTTAAAATTGACATTTTATGACCACCTCCATAGTCGCACGCCGGTTTCAACATCTCTGAGGTTCCAGGTTCGATTCTCGGTCGGGTCAATGTAGAAAATTAACTTTTCTATGTTGTGATGATAAATTATGCTAGTAAACTGTTACCTACCTATTATAAACCATTAAAATATAAATGATAGCTGAAGCCTCCGCATTATGGAGTATCTGAAACAACGAAGGTGCTATAAAATCCAGACAATAGACAATAAAAAAAGTCCATTTTCTACATTGACTCTACCGAAAATCGAAACTGGAGTGCTAACCAATCGTGTTTCACTACCATTATGTTACGATTTCTCTACGTTTACTTTGGATCATGCTACATCGTAGTATCAAACTACGCCACAAGGTGATCATACTATAACCGTGATACGACATTATAAGTCTTACGAATTAACATGACATGCCCTATTTTGTCCTCGAACCCCAATCAGAGGCAATATCAGGTCGATTGCATCATAAATTTATCGAAATTGCCTCTAATAAAAATAAATAAATAGACGAAATTATGTTTACGGAGTAATAGAATATGCCGACATGAGTCATATTAATTCGTACGAATAGTACGACTAGTGTATAATGATACTATGAGGGTCAAACTGAAAGTTCTTAGAAAATCAAAAACTGATTACATTAGCCAGTTATTAGTTTTATTATATCTTTTCAAAATATTGTCCATTCACGTCAATACACCGCTGCATGCGATGGAACCACTGGGAAAAGCACTTTGCCCACTCGTCCTTAGGGGTCTCTTCAATGGCATCGCGATACGCAGCCACCGCTTCTTCAGCATTCATAAACCGCTTTCCTTTAAGTTTTTCTTTAATTTTTGGAAATAAATAAAAATCACAAGGCGCGAGGTCGGGGCTATACGGCGGGTGACCCAGTAATTCAACGTTTGATGTCGCCAAATAGTCGATCGTTCGCTTGGCGGTGTGCGACGAGGCGTTGTCGTGGTGAAGGAGGATCCTACTGCGAGGTCGTTTCTCTCGAACTTTTTCCAAGACAAGTGGCAAACAATTGGTAGTGTACCATTCTGCAGAAACTGTTTTTTGATCCTCTAACACAATTGTTGCAAAATGACCTATCCTTCCAAAGAACGAGGCCACCATTTTTTTTCCCGCACTTCGATCTCTCTTCACTTTAGTTGGCAACTCCTCGAAAGGAAACACCCACTGAGCAGATTGTCTTTTGGTTTTAGGATCATAACAGTAAATCTAGCTTTCGTCACCTGTTAGTATGTCGAACACAGCATTTGAGTCACCTCCGTTAAATCTTTCAATCATTTTACGACACCAATCCACACGATGGAGTTTTTGAGCCTCAGTCAAATTATGAGGTATCCACCGGGCGCAAAGCTTCCTGACCGCTAAATGTTCGTGGAGGATTTTGTGCACTTGACTCATACCGATGCCTAAGCTTGTCCGAATCTGTTGATAGGTCACTCTTTTGTCAGTCTCTATCATACGCCGCACAACACAGATGTTATCTTCAGTCGTCGCCGTAGAAGGCCGTCCCTCACGTAAATCATCAGTGAGATTAGTGCGACCACGTTTAAACTCATTAAACCAGTTGTAAACAGTCGCACGAGATGGGGCTTCATCGTGAAAGGCCAATCGTAGTCTATCATAACTTTCTTGTTGACTTAAATGACATCGAAAGTCATAAAAAATCATTGCACGAAAATTTTCTCGTGTTAAATTCATGATGACGTGACACAGACAATTTTCAATTTGCCGCCAAATCGTAAAACAAATGACAAATGAATGAAATATATACTCAGTAATATTGGCAAAGAGTTATATTTTCAAATTTTAGAATTATTTTTTTATTATATTGTTTATAAGTGGCCAGTTCTAAGAACTTTCAGTTTGACCCTCGTATTACGACTAGTGTATAATTACATTAGTACGACTAGTTTATAATTACACTAGAACGACTAACGACTAGGTCGATTATAAATATGTCGTAATTTAAGAATGTTATTTCGAATTTAAACTTACGAAGTTATTGTTTTGTTTCAGGTATCGGATTAGGACTCGGAAGTATGACATATCTATACTAATATTATAAAGAGAAAGTTTTTGTTAGTTTGCATCGTGTAAACTCCGAAACTACTGAACCGATTTATACAATTCCTTCAACTACAGGAAGCTACATCATACACGAATGACGTAGGTTATAATTCACGCGGAAAAACAGCTATAATTTAATACGTCAATAAATTAAATGGCCAACCTTTTCCCTCTAAATAGCATTCAGTATCTATATATATATATAAAAATGAATCGCAAAATGTGTTGGTAAGCGCATAACTCAACAACGCCTCGACCAATTTGGCCAAATCTTTTTTTAAAATGTTCGTTGAAGTTCAAGGATGGTTTTTACGGCGAGAAAAATTTGAATATATGCCGGAAAAACCGTAAAAACAGCCCTTTTCTTTTTCTCATACAAACGTTTTCTAACTAAAACGTTGAGTCAATTTGAGCTCTATTACTATTGTATAAAGTTCATATTAAATTACAAGCACTCACTGTTATCTAAGCAATGTAGGTGTGTTCCTAACGTCAAAGAGTCAATTTGCACTTTATTACCACTATACAAAGTTGAAATTCAATAATATCAATACAATGTGCGTGTGTGCGTTGGAGCACAGAATACATCGTTGGAGGATTTAATGCCGCGTTCCGAAACTCAATTAAAGTAAATCATTAGTATTGATTTTCAATTTGGTCGGCTTTGTAATTATGATTCACATAATTAACAATAAAGCGATTACTTACTTTTAAATGCTTATAATATATATTTTATTTTATTATTATTTCTTATTCACCACGCCCTATCACCAGGGTGACGGTTCTGTTCAGGAGAATTTTTTTAAATACGTAGGCAAAAAAACTGCCACATTACAAATCTTTTTGACAGGACGAAGTCTGTCGGGTCAGCTAGTTTATAATAAAAATAACTATTTAGTCAATATATTCTATAAACAAATGAGCTTATAAGTGCTTTCACAATTTAAATTATCATATACTTTTTTACCTACGTCTTTTTAGGACTTCAATTTTGCTAATGTTTAAGTAATATTATAAGTTGAAATGGTTTATATTTTCCGAAGATAAAACAAAAACCTGTTTTGCGCTTGTAGGGCAGAAGCCTATTATATAATCAATTTATGACTCATGTAAAATGATATGTGATTTATGAGAGTTTATATATAATGTATTGTTTTCCGAATATATTACAGTAACCTGTATTTTCACTTGTAAGACACAACACTATTGTATAATGTCATTATAATCAATGACGTTTTGATTGCCAATGTGTGAAAAGTGTATGTTATTCTTTCTAACATATTCCTGAAGGATATGTTAGATTAATGCTTTTCCGAAACTTAAAAAAAAATATTGTTCCCAGTTTTGTAAGCTGACCGTCGGTGAATATGGCATTTTGATAAAAGTGTAAGTAACATTTTAAATGTATGTGTTTATTTTAATCAACAAATAAATAACTATAAGATAACATTACATTTAAAAAGGAGGTATAGGTAAACAACGAAGTTACCAGACCTAGACTTAAGACAATTTAAGAAAGTTTGTTTTTTTAATTCACTCGTTCGGGAATTGAACTCAGCACCTTAGAGACGATGACACAATTAAAGCTAGCTATCTAACAAGGTCGTGATATAATAGTTCTGATATTTAAGCCAATTTTAAAGTAAAAGTCTAATTCAATAAACCAGAGACAGATAAATAATAAGGTTAAAATCAGAGACAAAGTATAAATTCAGAAAAAACTACAAAGAAGTTTTACCAATAGATAATTACTTAAAGAGTTTATATAACTCATTTTAAATTTCTTGTTTCAGTTGCCAGAAGTCTCCGGACTGTATTACAGGAACTTGATAACTGAATTAAATATTTTTATTTCAAATACGTCTGCTGTTTCCTTTGTAATATTCCTACACTATTACACTTATTATTTATTAAATGTTAACATATACCGAAATTAATAATTGTACCATAGATAGTACAGTGGTAATATAACATAGTTTGCATTTGCAAGTGATAATATTGAATTTCATTTAGACCTGTCATGTGGCCTAATCGTCAAAACCTATCTATTCACATACCTATTCAAACGTATAGCGGTTGTGATAGTGATTTATGAAGTATTGTAAATTTTAAAATGACAATCCTAAACGAATTATTCAATTCGATGACATTTCCCATTTTAACTAACATTTTGAAGTCAAATAAACGTTCTTCTTCTTTTTTAATTCATGGCTTATTTGCGTTTACACAATTCCGCTAATGTCACGTTTGTGGTCTTTACACGTAAAGAAACAATAATAAAATATGTCAATTTTGAAATCTATTAAATAAAATAACGCGTCTATCTGATAACATTGTTAAAGATAATATTATATATAATTATATTTATAAATAAAGACTATTAGTGATTGCTATAAATTTAGATAAAATATCATTCATACAATATCTTTCAAAAAAACGTCACGAACGCAGTTGAAAATAGTTGTAACGTGAAGTTCGTGAATATCTTGCAAAAGCCAAATTCAAAATGACTGTTTTAGATATTAAATTTAGAAAATTAAGCCCCTAAAGTCCTATATAATTAGTGCAGTCTTCCTCACACATCAACGGTGACAGATACACATATAATAATATTAGACTTCAGGTTGATAGTACAATGGTAAAATGTAACTAGACGAGATTCTATTAAAGTGCTATTATTACGTTAGCATTGGCAGAGTTGGCCTGCAGATGGCCACTGCCTAGCTGTAGCAGATAGCAAAAGAAGGGTTTGTTTACCAGTTTTTTTTTATGATGAAGCGTGGATGAGATGGGGATGAGAAGCACCCCCTAGGCTTCAGGTAAAAAGAGCAAACGACACAAAATAATGTTTTAATAGACTTTATTTTATCCCTCAGGGGGTAGGTATAGATTCGCTGGCTATGGTTTTCTATCTTGAATTATGAGGGGAGGACTTAGCTTTAAGTAAGAGGTTTTAATAATAATAATAATAATATTAAGAGCAGCGTAGGTCAGGAGGACTCGTGTAGAATAACCCCAATTTCGGGGTTATTTAACTCAAACTTACAAATTGCCAAATTCACATAAAAAATGAATGTATTGTTTCGCTAGAAGTCATTTATATACTCTTTCTATGAGCTATGAGCCATGAGCCGCGCTGCGCTCCCATGTCTGCCTGCCTCTATAGTACAATTGTTAACATTGTTCCTTCAATTATTTTTAATGATATTTCTCTTTAAATTAATTTGTATTAAAAAGTAAAAAGGAATTAAGCACATATATTGGGTTATATTTTGGAACCAAAGCAAGGAAAGATGTTTTATAGAAAAACCTTTTATTCAAATTACAACGCAACCACATTTATTCACAAGACGCCATCTTATGTAGGTATTCGAACACAGTTCTCGAAGATTCCATAGACTCCTAGAGTTAAACCATAAACTAAATTTACTTTTACAGTGATGTTCACATTACTTTCCAACAACATCAGCCAAACATTCAAAAGAAAGACAGTTTATTTAATAAACTGTTGCATCTGTAGTATATGAAATCTTTCAACTGAAGCTTAAAGCACTTATATTTGTTTGATTATATACTGAAATGTTAATACATGTTTGAGCTGTGACATTGCACGGTTAGCTAAGTCACTTTAAATCTAATATTTTAATGCTAAGTAAAGTAGAAAAATATCCAATATGGCGGACCATCCTAGATGGCGGAACAGCTATTTAAGCTCGGATTTTGGATCATAGGCTCCATGGATAAGTATATTGTTTGAAGTTTTTACGGTAATATACGGTTTTCATAGTTTAAATTTAATGTAGAAGTTGACAATTCACAAAATTATTTCAATAAATGTAATTAATTTATGTATGTTTAATATCTTAATTTATATATTATTATTATTTAAAATGGACATTGTTTTGAAATCTAGTTGAACTGACATTTGCATGCTAGTGAAATAATATGGCTTAATAGTTCTAAGTACGTTATTGAAGACAACTATCCACTTCATTGTAATCTCCCCTATTTATAGCAAATAAAGAATTATTATTATTTCTAGAGAGTTGTGACGTAGCGACCACCTAATCCTCAACTTTAATGCCTAATATCCAGAGGTCGGAATTAGGTAGAGTTATTTATGTACTTGCATCGAAATGTTGATATTAATGTGGACCTTCCCGGGATTTTTTTATTTCTTTCTTTCATTGATGTAAGTTTGTGCAACATCGTGCATGCAGTAGTTTAAATTGTGTAAAAGTAAATAACTTTTTATTTAAAAAATCACGGGATTTTTCTGCTCTTTAAAATAATCTCGGGATTTGAGGCATATCCACTTTATTCTTTCGCTGTATGAAATCAGTGTAAGTACATGAATAACTCTACCTAATTCCGACCACTGCTAATATCTAAGCCAGTCTTTCACACAGATCGTTCTGCCATGGCACGGTATATTGAACCGACTACAAAATAGAAAAGAAGGAGATGTTAAGTACTTTTTAAAAAAATAAACCCGTGTCTATTTATCTACTGAAAACCTTTAGCCGACTTCAATAGAATTTCTAGAATAAGTTACATTAGCGATAAGCATTAAATTTCCAAAAAAAAAGAATCATATCGCTTCTTTGTGACCCACTTTATATTTTTAAACCCAAACTGATTCTATTAGGTAAAACTAGCTAGATGACAGAGCTTAGCTCGGTATTACTTTTGTTAAATTAAAATTAAAAAGAGCGACTTTTCACTCTCGAAACCTTCTGCCAACGCTGATTTTTCATAAAAAATCATTTGAGTTTCGTTTCCATTGAATTGAGAATCGTTTCCATAATATAAATGTTCAACAAAATAAATTTAATTATACAAATTTGCGAAATATTACGTTTCAAAAACTTCAAAACTAGGGAAAATATACTTACACGAAAGTTTGCTAAATAAATATGGCATGTTTTATGGCAAATTAGTTACTTAAAACGTCACTACTTTCATTATAACAGCTATAAACATAAACGCAGAAATAACAAAGATTGCCCTTACACCCATACGTTTTTCGCTACCGTAACACTGTGACGTCACTTAGTGCCTTGAATTTGTAGGAAACGTTTTCGACCGACCAGCAACAGTTCTACAAACACAGCTCCGTATCTCCGAAATTATTAATCGTACACATGCTGTTACTTCTGCATTATTTCTCGGATATTTATGGACTATTTATTTATAAAATAAAAAATAAGTTAACAACAAGTACCCCGTTCTATTTTGATGGCCCGGTACAGTGTCCAGACTCGGCAAATGGAAAACACTGATCTAAGCTATTTCTAATACTAACCAGCCATCAGGAGCAAACTTATCAATATTATAAATATTGGATACCAAAACGTATCCTATATTTTTCTCTTATCTGACTGATTAAATAGATTTTTTTTAGCCAGTACTTCCGATACTTCCTTCAGATACTTCCTATTGTCAATGTTTGCACTGAATTATTATTTTCTATAAGTAAATTGTAAACCAATAAATTAGTAACGTTATAATAAGTATAACAAAACACATAATATGCGTGCGACAGCTACATCATACGCGTGCAATAGCTACATAATACGCGTGCGACAGCTACACCATACGCGTGCGACAGCTACATCATACGCGTGCGACAGCTACATCATACGCGTGCGACAGCTACACCATACGCGTGCAACAGCTACATCATACGCGTGCGACAACTACATCATACGCGGTGCGACAGCTACATCATACGCGTGCGACAGCTACATCATACGCGTGCGAGAACTACATCATTATAGGCTATCATTTACGCAGGCGAATAAGCGGGAATTGAGAGCTACTCCTCTTTTAAAATAATGTGATATACTCAATGTGACCTTGTGGGCAACAGAATATAGATTACCTCGAGTCTAGTACTTGTCAAATAAAAGTTATCTCAATAAATTTTCAAAATATTATTTAGTCTTGTCAACTTTCATTATTTTTACAAATGAAATATTTCCACATTCTCTAATTAAAAACGTCTCATATATTCTGAAATGTGTGGATACAATATAAAATTGTTGGACAACTACCTCACATTTGTTTAATGACGGGGTTCTATTGTATGAGTGTCGTTACCATTTGTTAAAATACATAGTTTGATAATATTTCAAAAAAAGACTATTGTTAAAACATTTTGTAAGTCAAATGAACCTCTTTGAATAATAATTAAATTTGTTTGAGCAAATATTCGAACAATTTCGACCATATTTTTAGTATATATAGGTGTTACAAATTTCCAAAGATATAGTTTCTGTTAATTCTAACATTGCAACGTTACCTACTACAAGATGAAAACCGCCGTAGTCTTCTTAGTTCTGGTAAATATATTGCAAATTTTTTCTTCTTATTTTATAATGTTAGGACATCAAATCAGCTTTTCACTTTTTTATTCATTATTAATAATGAACTCATTGTTGATCTCAACCATTGATTTAAGATCTACAATAGAACGAGCTTACCCAGAAGCCTAAGTTAGATTAGGTATGAAGGCTTCAAACTTCCAGACTTTCGTATTCAGGTTCTCCAAAAGCCTATTTGCTATATCCACAAATAGATTTGAAGATGTCTTAGAAAAATGCTGGAAATATAAACCGGCAGGAAATCACAATGTTCAAAAGTAAAACATGAAGAAAAGTAATTTGATATATTGGAATATTCAACAACTAAGGGTAGTCAGTGTTCAGCCATGCGTCCAATTATAATGATGCTAACGTATACTTCCTTAATCTCTTTAATTATAAAATTTATTTGTTCAAAAATCACAAATAATTATTTAAAAGTTGGGTAAATTCAAGAAACCTCATTTAAAAAAGTACCACAAAATGTGAA